GCACACATCAAGAGAATGAGATTCTGTTGCAATTTATAAAGCAGCTAGCTTTACTTAGAATGTAGGGACCAATGTTATAAATCCATACCAGAAACTGAATTAGTGATGGATGTCAAAAAATTCAACGTGAATTTTAACATGTGCAAATTTCTCCCCCTAGAAACATAATCAACTTTTAAAAGTTCTCCAAAGACCATTTCAGATTATATTGAAAGGAAAAGACTAATTAATTAAATACATCATGCATCTAAAGTCTAAAAGCAGAAACAAAGATAATGATGGTTACTTTCCTGTAGTTTTCAACAGATAAACTTCATCAGGCACAGCTATCATTCTTAAAAGAATGCAGCGTCCCTCTCCACAGGAATACGTTTTAAAAGCAGATCTGCTATTTAGGTCACTATTCATCTAGTCATGAGCTTAGACTGCCAACTCCAGCACATTTTACAAATGAATTAAGAAGATATTTTAGTGTTCATGAACACTAAGACAATACAAAAGCAAACGTAAAACACAGATGTGTCCCTTTGGGCCGGGCACGGTGGCTCACACCTGTAATCCCAGTACTTTGGAAGGCCAAGGAGGGCAGATCACCTGAGGTCAGGAGTTCAAGACCAGCCTGGCCAACATGGTGAAACTGTTTATATTAAAAATACAGGCCGGGCGAGGTGGCTCACGCCCGTAATCCCAGCACTTTGGGAGGCCAGGGTGGGTGGATCACAAGGTCAACAGATCAAGACCATCCTGGCCAGCAGCGTGAAACCATCTCTACTAAATATACAAAAATTAGCTGGGTGTGGTGGTGCACACCTGTAGTCTCAACTACCCGGAGCCTGAGGCAGAAGAATCACTTGAACCCGGGAGGTGGAGGTTGCAGTGAGCAGAGATTGCGCCACTGTACTCCAGCCTGGTGACAGAGTGAGACTCCTCCAAGAAAAAAAAAAAAAAGCCAGGTGTGGTGTCAGGCACCTGTGATCCCAGTTAATTGGGAGGCTAAGGCAAGAGAATTGCTTGAACCCAGGCAGCAGAGGCTGCAGTGAGCCAAGATGATGCCACTGCACTCTAGCCTGGGTGACAGAGCAAGACTCCATCTCAAAAAAGAAAAAAAAACACCATAGATGTATAGTCTTCTCAGCAACCATAAAGTAGAAAATGTGAAACATTCTACTAAACGTTTAACACTGCTTATTATAATTTTTATGTATGTTGGAAGATGCTAGTGTTCTAAAAAAAATATATAACTACTGAAATCTTCCTAATATTATATGACAAGCAAAATTGACTGTGTGAAACTGAAAGTGTAATCTCAAACATCAAAAATAAAGCCAGCCAGGCGTGTGACTCACACCTGTAATCCTAGCACTTTGGGAGGCTGAAGTGGGAGGATCACCTGAGTCCAGAAGTTTAGGACCAGCCTGGGCAACACAGTGAAACCCCATCCATGGAAGAAAGAAAAAAGAAAAGGAAAAACACGTTAAGGCCTTGAGTGATGCCCAATGATGACAGGCCAGCAGAACGGCAACACACCCTGTGCCAGGCATAGGCCTGCACCATGCTTACTTGTCTTACATTGCTCTCCCCTACAGGACTGCTCTGAAAATCACCATAGTTTTGTCCTTACTAGCATCCATCAGATTTAGATTAAACTGAGAATCTAGTGGCTAATCCAGTAGTTAAAGCTACTTTACCACAATATTACAGAAAAACTAGAGGTAACATTTTGTTAAAACCAGGTTTCCAATAAATAAAACAGAGTGAACACAGTACAGGATAAAGACGACTTTAGGAAAAAGAGCTATTGCTGACATCATCTCTCTAATAGTCATCAGAGTTTTCTATGAGAAGGCCAGAGGCTCACACCTGTATACACAGTGTGCGGGTGCAAGAAAGACCAAGGAAAGCAGCTATCCAATTTCTTACAATGGTGGATAAAGACAAGTTTGAGGAAAAAGGCTTTAGAGTTATTTTCACAATCTGTATCTGAAGACAATTCACAATGCTGCAACTCAACCCTGGGTTGTTAACAACTGTTACTTATGTTAACAGGAAGACATGAAGGTTTTTTTCTTTTTGAAACAGTCTCATTCTGTCGCCCAGGCTGGAGCGCAGTGGTGCAATCTTGGCTGAACGCAATCAGAGCCTCCTGGATTCAAGCTATTCTGCCTCAGCCTCCTGAGTAGTTGGGATTACAGCCATGCACCACCACACCCGGCTAATTTTTTTGTATTTTTAGTACAGACAGGATTTCACCACATTGGCCAGGCTGGTCTCTAACTCAACCTTGTGATCCACCCACCTTGGCCTCCCAAAGTGCTGGGATTACAGGCGTGAGCCACTGCGCCTGGCCCAACATCAAGGTTTTTAAAAGGCCTTTTGTCTTTTCATATTATAAGCTGCTTCAGTCATTCCAACATAAACAGACAATTTTAAAGTTATATATAATGTGTCTACCCTGTTCAGGATTTTAAGTAGTTTATGTGGTACATAAAGCTCTTAACTTTCCCCCCAGAAAGCATAAATTGAATATAATGAGAAAGAGGATGGTAAAAGCAGAGCCAGGAGTAAGCCTACTCACCCACTGGAACAATCAATATAAAAAAACAAATACACAGTGAGGCCCCGTACTTCTGTGTCAGATCAGAGCTGGCAGGGGCCAGCGCACCACTTGGTCCAGTGCCCTCACTCAAAAATTAAGCAGAAAGAATGTCAATGTCATGTTTAGGCACACTTATGTGCCATGACATTTTTCAAAAACCATCTGCTACTTGGTTTACTCAAACCAATCATAAGGGCAGACAGAAGTTCTAGGAATGGCTGGAGAAGAAACTTAAAGATTCAATGAATTCTCTCAACTCTGCAGCCTAACAACTTAAAGTATATGACATAGAACAAACCAATTACTATAAAAATTAAGTATGAGATTGTAGATCATAAGCAAAAGAAATTTAGGCTTTTTAAGTTTCCTGTGTGGTTAAAAAAATTAGATTTATGAAGATTCTACTTTCATGATATATTTAAAGTGTATTTAAAATATAAAGTTATCTGGCTGAGTGCCGTGGCTCATGCCTATAATCTCAGCACTTTGGGAGGCTGAGGAAGGTGGATCTGTTGAGCCCAGGAGTTCACCTTGGCAACATGGTGAAACCCTGTCTCTTCCAAAAGTACAAAAATTAGCCAGTCTCATAACCCAATCTCAAAATAAACAAACAAGATTTAAAAATTAAAATAAGTATCTGTATTCTTATGATGAAAAATTAAAATTTCTTCAGCATACTTTCTTTCCAAAAAGAGATATCACTTATTCTTTTAGTTATAAAAAAAATTGTTTTTAAATTTTAAGTTCCAGGATACATGTGAAGAACGTGCAGGTTTGTTACACAGGTATAAGTGTGCCACGGTGGAGACATCATTTATTGTTTAAGCACAAAAATAATTTTGGGTTATAATTCTTAGTATACAGAGACACAGATGCCTACATTCTAATGACTAATATAAAACCTTTTATTTGGCAATTTGGAAATAAACACTTTTAAGATATTAACTCATGAAATAAGGTTACAGAAAATTAGTCACAGAAAATATTATACTATAGATTACTCAAATCACTCCACTGAAGTAATTTAATTGAGGCATTCATAGAGCAGCTCAGTGTCTGGGCACAAAATAGAGATGAGTCTTCCTTCCTCGGTAATCCTGCATTGAGATACTCAATCTCTACGCTTCCTTATTTGTAGAACAGAAAAGTGGTGCCTTCCTCAGAAGACTGTCAAGAACTAAATAAAACAGCGTGGAAAATGCTTGGCAAGGTAATTAAGCATTTACGAATGCTTTATTAGCATCAAATGCTTTTATCATCACAGAGTTTAACTGTACCAAGAGAAGAAACAAAAATTCTCCAACAGAGTGATGACTGCTTTAAATAGGGGAGCTGATTCATTAGTTTACAAATGCTAGTCATCAACTTCCAAACTTCAGACTAAACTTGCTTTGTTATATTTCTGGGCAATATTTACAGAGCCATACCCTTGATAAATACTACAGACATACATCGAAAATACCTTCAGCAAGGAAGGTCAGAAAATCCGGACTCAACAGGGGCGCCAGTGCTTCCCAATGGCTCATTCCCTCCCCAAATTACAGCCTTCTTCCACCAGAGCCAGAGTAGACCCTGCCTCAGTCCACCTCAGTAACCTCCATGGTCTTGGGGCACAGACATTGCACTGACACAGCCCTAGAAGCCAGATGTCCCAAAGCTCAATTCTGCATTCATCCCTCACCAAGTATCAATATTCTCCCAAAAGCAGGCAGAAGGTTATCCTAGACTTAAGCATGAAATCCCTTGGCCAAAATGAGCTGGGAAACATTTTTTAAAAATAAAAATAAAAAATAATTAAAGCTTTGCCATAATTCCACTTTTTACCTCATTGATCAAAATAAGAAAGATAAAACATATATAAGTGTTATTAGGTTGGTACCAATTAATTACTTTCATTTTTTCACATCCTTAGCACTGACAACAAATGGTGATTTTTCACTATAGAATCCCACTGTTTATTTCATATCCTGTATTACTTTCATTTTTTCATATCCTTAGCATTGACAAATAGTGATTTTTTCACTATAGAATCCCATTATTATTTAAGTATGAGCAAAAGCATTATAAGAAATACTCAAAGCAAGAATAGATGTGAAAGTATAAAATACACATTATTTAATTCTATTTAAAAGAATTTTTTTTAAGTTTAGGATCTTGCAAGTTAAACTTTCTCAATGTCAAATTGCAAACTTTAATATTTAATATACGTGGGATACTGATGATTGCCTCCTCTTCTTTCAGGTATTATTGAATGTTATCAATCTAATAAAAATTCTGTTTCTTTCTGTTTCTATGCATATCTGACATTTACATGTGATGAAAAAGTTACTTGGCCCAAAAACTTTTCAGAATCACATTTAACACATCACATTTTGCTCATGAGCACAAACTTTACAGTCAGGAGTTGCACATAAAGGGTTTATTTTAAATGTTTTAAGGATAAGATAGAGTTACATCATAATTATAAAAATTACTTACAGAATTAACAGATTTATATTGTGTATACTTCTAAATGCAGAGAACAGGGAACTGTCTACACATTGTATAAAATAAAATTAAAATTAAAAATGAATTCAAGCTTGAAAGATGAGGTCATTTACCTAATTTTAAAATGTGAACACGAAGACCTCTGACCTATACACATTCATTCCAACTGCACTAATGATGGAAAAACACAAAGAGCGCAGCATTTCCAAGGAACCACAGACATTTCAACCATAATTATTGTGTTATAATAATTGTTCCTGTTTTGTCTTTGGAGAACGTTCATTTTTTTAAGACAATCAGCTTAAGAGTGTTTTCAGGCACTACAATTTGTGACAATCGGAACAGTCTTCTAATGGGTCTACAGTGTTCAGAGATTCAAGCCCAATGCACTTCGTGGTTTGGCACATAAAACGATAAAAGAAACGAAATCTGATTTAGAAGTAACTGTGATTTTTTTTTAAGAAAACACAGTCCCTTCAAATGCTGCATGACATTTACAACTGGAAAATCACCTTCTGTTGGCACTACATTTGCTTCACCAGTGCATTTTTATCCTAAAACCACTAAAACGGCACAGTAAGCAAATATACAGGAAACTGAAAGCAAATAAAAATAAAGGAAACAAAAAAACCTAAATATCTTTAACATGCAATTTTAGTCAGTTACATTGAACATTCTACTTAGAATAGAGCATGCAAAAAAGGATGGTCTGCTTTTAAGATTTTTCTCTGAAGTTTTACGTGGCAGCCTGACATCACACACGCACGCACACACAATACAATAATACTAGAGCAGGTAAATGAGAAAGGCCAATAAATTTTATACATAGATTCATGTCTTGTGTTGTCACAAGTCCCATGATACTTTTGGAAATTAATGTTGAATTCCTAGAACAAGGAACCAACATTCTGATACCAGAAAAATGCAAGCAATGCATGCAGATCTGACACATGAGCCTAAAACGAAGCCCAAGATACAAGGGCTTGGGAGCAGAATTAGTCATAGCGTCATTAAGTGTGGTGTAAGCCACCAAAAGAAAAACAGAATGGGGGAAAATGGGGAGAAAAAAAAAACCCTTCCCTTTCCCTCAGCCCTAAAGGCAATAAATGGAACAATGATTAAACTCATCGTTGTCATCACCATCATCATGTTGCATTCATCTAGAAACGGGAGATCATGTGGTATCAAAAAAAAGTTATTAAAGTTGCTTGCAGAAAAACCACAATGCAAGTCATTAAGTAATGCTAGAAATGTCTCAATTGACCCAACCCTCAAGATACTTCGACACGAACTTTATGTTTCCACCCAAAGTTACTGAGCCAAGTGCTGCACAGTCCATGCATGCTGGACACACTCGCAAATTCTTGCACTGCAATGTCAGTCTGGACTCTGGGAGCCAGGCTCAGCTTTGAGATTTACAAGCAGGGACTTTTAAGAGTCAACAGGAAAACACATAGTAGATCTGCAGAATAACACCTGTTCACACAAAAGAGAAGCACCTATGACTTGGGTATCACACTGCTTTCAAAAGCTTGTCCCTGGCTGCCCAAGGTGAAGCAACAGGGACAGAGCGACTGTAGCTGTGGACAGAAAACTGAGGTACTGTGTTTACATGGTGAGTGGTCGTTACCATCCAACAGCACAAGGCACAAAAAATGGGCATCAAGCAAACCATGCATAATGAGGCCTGGAAACCATCAAGAACAGCCACAACAGAGGCCACTTGGATCTCTGATTCAAACTTCTGGTGTCTGAGTGACAAGCATACAAGTTTCGGCTCTGCCCAAATATCAGGGAGGATTTCCAATCTCCACAAGAGACTGGTTTTACATATGGCCTTTCTCCTGGCTGTCAAACCACCAGGGTTCCTCCAAAACAAAGTGAGAGCAGTTGTTTCACTGACCAATCAATCACACTTGCAGTTCTATTTCAGTTTAGAACAACCTTTCAAGAAGAAACGATGTAAAGACCGTGGCAAAGGGCTGCTATTACTTACACCCACCAAGCGAACACAAATGGCTGACTCTTCCATGGTAACGCATCACTGACATGCAAACCCCAAGGGGCCACTGAATCTGAATAGAATGAATCCACATTAACAGCACACCTGGAGCAGAAACATGCACCCCACATAAGGTGTCAAGAGACCAAGCTGCTATTTGTCTAGACATTCTCTGTGAGGAAAAGCCAGGGGGTAGGGGGAAGGGGTGGAGCAGAAGTTTCCAACCATAATCATACATTAGCAATAATAGTAATAAAAATTTTAAAGTCCCAGAGAGCTTGTTAGAAGGCAATAATGCCACTCAAAACTTAAACTTCCAATATAAAAAGATTGTATTCCTCCAGAAACTTACCAAAAACACACAAACCAGTGACGTATTGTTGCCTTTTAAATCCATGTACTGAAATCCAGATTACTGATTTGTACAAACAACAGACCATACATGCTGTCCAAAATACACCTACATGACACTGTGTGGAACAAGGACCTGGGCTTTGCTAAAAAAAATTATGATTAAAATGTAACTAAAAAAACTCAAAGCTTAGAATTAAAGGTAGCCTTTTACCCAGATTTCTCACCAGATTGTAAACTCCTAATGTGGGTCATTAACTGTTCACAAGTAATTCTCATTTGAACTTACAGTTTAAGGGCTCCAGACTAAAAAGGTGCTCTGAACTTCTGATTTTTTTGAAACAAGCTGAATGTTTCTATATGCTTCCTGTGCCCAAATTTTAATTTTAAATAAAGAGCAGTAATATCATAACCATGACTGACTTGGGTAAAGCACTCCTGTTAAATTGAAGAAAATTATGTCACCCCCATCCCAATCCCACAAAGAAAAGACTGCAGTGGGGTATGTGTGCGTGTATGTGTGTGTGCGTGATATCTATGTGTATATATTATATATGTATACACACATATAGATATAGGTAGATACGGATACATATATCTCAAAAAAGGCGATAACGAAAACACCAAACTATGCTTGCATTGTGGCGGCAGAATAAGTGTTAGGGTAAAGGGGAAATGATTAAGATCTATTACAATTTTAAATGACTATGATACTAGCTTAACTTTTATCAAACTTGCCTGTAACTCCCCTCCAAATAGACAGACTTCTTTTAAGAGAAAGGAGTTCTCCTTACACAAAATGCTTTGTGTTCACATCAATCTGTACTATTCAGAACAAAACCAGTTCTGCTGGCAGAGATTGTGGGTTCGCAGGGACATTTAAGCTTTCATTAAACTGGAAAGCAATCAAGTCTTTATGTCTACAAATAATACATTTCACAGTTCCACAAATTTGGCAGTTTGTGATGACATCTAGGATGTTTTCACCAAATCGTAGACATAAATATGGAAATCATCATCAAACTTGATGAAATAGACGGAGGGCTTGGCTTCTACTTGATGAATGACCATGCCAGTCCTTTTCGAGCCATCTTCTTTGGCATATTCCACTTGTTTGCCTACCAGGCTGTCCACAACTTCTCCTGGTTCCCTTTCTGCTGGAGGTGAATCATCTATATTAAAAAAGAAAAAAAGAGAGAGAAAATTTTAAAATCAATTTTTAGATATAAATCAACTAACATATTTTCTTTCAGACAGAGTTTCACTCTTGCTGCCCAGACTAGAGTGCAATGGCGCAATCTCAGCTCACCACAACCTCCGCCTCCTGGGTTCAAATGACTCTCCTGCCTCAGCCTCCCAAGTAGCTGGGATTACAGGCATGTGCCACCATGCCCAGCTAATTTTGTATTTTTAGTAGAGATGGGGTTTCTTCATGATGGTAAGGCAGGTCTTGAACTCCCGACCTCAGGTGATCTACCCACCTTGGCCTCCCAAGAAATCAACTCACATATTTATTTTCATAATTTAAAAAAAATCTAAATACCCTAAATTGATGATTATCTAGACCAGGAGTCAGCAAACTTTTTCTTACAAGGCCACACAGTAAATATTTCAGGCTTAAGGGTATGTGGTCTCTGTCCCAACTGTTCAACTCTGCCACTGTAGCATGAAAGCAGCCACTGATAATATGTATATAAATGGGTGTGGTTGTGTTCCAATGAAACTTTTTCCATAAAAATAGTTTGCCGACCCCAATCTAGATATATGAACAATTTTGAAAATCATATCCCAAAATTCTTTTGGTCCATGTTTAATTTGTAGCTGTAATTAATTCAAAGTAAGTCTGAGTGGCTTTGAAATATAATTTGAAGGCAGACAATTCCTACAGGGATTACTGAGAATATGGTATACATTTAAAATGCCTAAGTACCATAGGTTGTAGTCTGTGAATCCTTAAATCTTCTTATCCCTCAACTTTACGGCATTTCACATCATCTTCCTCAGATTCGAAATTTAAAAAAATTTTCCACGCTTTAAAAATTGGTGTTGAATGAACTTCAGCCCAGGCCAAGTACAAGGGAATCTCTGAGGATGGCCCAGGCATCTGTACTATCTAAAAGGTCCCCAAAGTTGGCAGGGTGTGGTGGCTCATGCCTGTAATCACAGCACTTTGGGAGGCAGAGGCGGGCAGGAGATCTACACCATCCTGGCCAAAGTGGTGAAACCCCTTCTCTACTAAATACAAAAATTAGCTGGGCATGCTAGCGCATGCCTGTGATCCCAGCTACTCGGGAAGCCGAGGCAGGAGAATCGCTTGAACCTGGGAGGCAGAGGTTACAGTGAGAGGAGATTGCACCAACGTTAATGCACTGCCTCTGGCCTACAACAAAACACACAGAAACAGCAAACCACTACCAACAACAAAATACAAAGTAAAAGAAAAAAGGAGGGATAAAGGTAGGCAATTACACTTCTATTTTTTTAAAAATTGCATGGGTTCTGAAAAACTCAAAGCTCTTTTCCTTGTAGTAATCTTCAGATAGGGTAACCAGGGTTGCAGCTGCTTAAGATGGTTCATGTCATACTGGCACAATTGGTAGTAATGCCATTTTACTCTCACAAGTATCCTGGTGTGAACCATATAAATGTATATGTATTAACAGTTGTCTGACTCTTTGGTTACAATAAATTCTCTCACTGAATGATAATCCAAAAAGTGCGACTGTGATCTCTGGTACTAAGAATCACAAGCAATAAAAATAAAACGCCTGAGCATAATCAGCTCTTTAAAAAGTAATAAAGAAATATAAGCTAAACTTTTTTCTTTAAAAATTCTCTTCCCTTAAGCAGTATCATCATACTGCCATATTTTTGTGGCACTTTTGTGTTTAAGAAGGAATTACAAATACACGATCACATGTGAATTTTATAGTAACTGAGCTAACCAAGAGACTCATGTAGAGTCCCGTTTTATCATCAGAGCAGGTAGTTGAACAAGATCCTTTCAGAACTCATTAGATCAGAACATGACCACTGTTTCTAAAGGTAAATAAGCTTCCACAGCACACTCGCAATACGTATGAGTTTGGACAATTAAAGGAGTGGAAAGATCAAAAAGTGGTTAGGAAAAGTGATGGGAGAACTGCAAATGCCCTTGTATTTCCTATGATTAGGTTAACAGTACTTGCTCTGACTAGGTATTTATCTATTAAAAAATGTTCAAGTAACCTCACACAGGTTGGAAAAATGCTTTTTAAAGGAACATTCTCATGACGAATTCTTTAGTATATAAATAATTTGTATTACCTCTTTATTACCCCTTTATACACAATTTTTTTCTTAAAGACTGAGTCTGGCTGTCTCCTAGGCAGCAGTATAGTGGCATGACCTCGGCTCACTGTAACCTCTGCCTCCTGGGTTCAAGCGATTCTCCTGCCTCAGCCTCCAGAGTATCTGGCACTACAGGCGTGTGCCACCACACCTGACTAATTTTTTATTTTTAGTAGAGACGGGGTTTCACCACGTTGGCCAGGATGGTCTCCAACTCCTGACCTCAGATGATCCAACCGCCTTGGCATCCCAAAATGTTGGGATTACAGGCATGAGCCACCACACCCAGCTCACAAATCTTAAAAATATATATATATAAGAAGTAGAAATTCAAGACCAGATGAACAAATTAGTAAGTTCATTAACTGACTTCTTCAGAGGAGAAACTTAAACAAAAAAGGAATAGAGATGACTGTCACATGGCTGATGCATGAAGGGTCTACTAGTTACATTTACATCTGTCCAAAGCAAGAGATTCCTGTGTGTGAAGGCCGTCGAGTAGTTTTTAAAAGAATGAGCTTATCTAAAAGTGAAATTAAGAAAACAGTTCAATTCATATGTATAACAGCATCAAAAAAAACAAAGTCCTTAGAAGTGAATTTAATAAAAGAAATGCGAGGCCAGGTGCTGTGGCTCATACCTGTAATCCCAGCGCTTGGGAGGCCGAAGTGGATAGATCACCTGAGGTCAGGAGTTCGAGACCAGCCTGCCCAAAATAGCGAAACATTGCTACTAAAAATACAAAAATTGGCCAGGCCTGGTGGCAGACACCTGTAATCCCAGCTACTCAGGAGGCTGGGGCAGGAGAATCATTTGAACCCAGGTGGAGGAGGTTACAGTCAGCTGAGATCGCACCATTGTATTCCAGCCTAGGCAACAAGAGTGAAACTCCTTCTCACAAAAAAAAAAAAAAAAAAAAAAAAGAAAAGAAAAGGAAAACAAAACAAAAAATGTTTTCAAAGTGTTGCAATCAATCAGTGAAAAAACACCCCATGCTCATGGATTAGAAGACTTGTTAACATTAAGAGGGCAATGCTCTTTCAAACTCATCTACAAATTCAACATAGTCTCCATCAGAATCCCAGGTGACTTCTTTGTTCTGACAAGTTGATTCTAAAATTGATACGAAATTGAAAGAGACCCAGAATAGCCAAAGCAATCCTGAAAAAGAAAGCAGGGGCCTGGCGCAGTGGCTCGCACCTGTAATCCCAGCACTTTGGGAGGCTGAGATTACAAGGCAAAACCCTGTCTCTATGAAAAATACTAAAGTTAGCCGAGCGTTATGGTGCATGCCTGTAATCCCAGTTCCCTGGGAGGTGGAGGCTGCAGTAAGCTGAGATTGTGCCACTGCATTCCAGCCTGGGCAATGGAGTGAGACTGTCTCAAAAAGAGTAGGGAAAAAAAGCAGGACTCAAAAGTCTTGACTTCAAACTCATTACAAAGCAATGTAATCAAGACAATGCAGCACTGGTATAGTGACAGACATACAAATTAACGGAATAAAACTGAGAGCCCAGAAAAACACCCACGTAACTGTGGTCAACTGATTTTCAATAAAGGTGCCAAAAACATTCAATGGGGGAAAGAACAGTCTTTTCAAAAAATGGTGCTAAGACAATTGAATAGGCATCACATGCAAAAAAAATGGAAGCTGGACCTTTATCTTGAACCTCAGACAAAAATTAACTCAAAAATGCATCAAAGACCTATATTTAAGAGCGAAAACTATAAAACTCTTAGAAGAAAACAAGTGTAAATCTTCATTCCCTCAGATTTCGCAAAAATGATTCTTAGGACACAAAAAGCACACTAAGCAAGAGAAAACGTAACTTGAACTTCAAAGTTTAAAACTTTTGTAGCCTCAAAGATCATCATCAGGAAAGCAAAAACAGATCCCATGGAATGGGAGAAAATATTTGCAACCTATATCCGATAAGGGTCTTATTATGTAAAAAAAAAAAAATTATCACAATGCAATAATGAAAGACAGATAATCCAATTTAAAAATGGGCAGGGGCTATGAATAAATATTTCACCATAAATGATAAAAATACGGCCAATAGGCTGGGTGCAGTGGCTTACCCCTGTAAACCCAGCACTTTGAGAGGCCAAGGCAGGTGGCTCACTTGAGGAGCCAGCAATTTCATACCCAGGTAGAATAAAACCAAAGGAAAGAAAACATGTCCATACAGAAACCTGTACACAAATGTTTACAGCAGCATTATTCATAAAAACCAAGAGATGGGAAACAACTCAAATGTCCTTTATTGGATAAACTGGCTAATCAAAATGTAGTATATCTATACAATGGAATCATATTTGGCCAATAAAAGGAATGAAGTACTGATATACGCTACAGCGTGGATGAAATCTGAAAACATGCTAAGTGAAAAAAAAGTAGCACAAAGGACCTCCCACCATATAGTCCATTCATATGAAAGTCCACAACAGGGAAAATGACACAGCAAGTATTATTGGTTCCTTAAGGCTAGGAGGAAGACAGGTTGAAGGAATAAAGGACTGATACCTAACAGATACAAGGTTTTCTTTCGAGGTTATGAAAACGTTTTAAAATTGACTGTGGTGAGGACTGTACCTATCTGTGCATGTATTAAAAAGCACAGAATTGCACAATTTAAATGGACTAACTGTATGGTCTAGAAGAAATTCTAACATGGTGGGGCACGGTGGCTCACACCTGTAATCCAAACACTTTGGGAGGCCAAGGCTGGCGGACTGCCTGAGCTCAGGAGTTCGTGACCACCCTGGGCAACATGGTGAAAACCTGTCTCTACTTACTTACACACACACACACACACACACACACACACACACACAGAGAGAGCCAGGTATGGTGATAGGCACCAGGCTGTTCCAGCTACTTAGGAGACTTGATTCAGCCTGGTTGGGGAGGGAAAGGAGGGGTTGCAGTGAGCCAAGACCATACCACTATATTCCAGCCTGGGCGACAGAGCAAGACTCTGTCTCAAAACAAAAACAACAATGACAACAACTAAAGAAATAACAGAATAAAGCTTTTCTAGGCCTAATGAAATTAGCCCAGGTACATCCTTTTCTACCGTCCCTTCGCGAACAGACTACTTGTGGAAATAGCTAAAATGATTTGTCTCAACACTGACTCTGTACTTCAGTTGCTACAGAAAAGCTCCCCCAATTAGCTGTTTTCTAAAACTGATGTTCTCTAAATCAGGAGTCCCCAATACCTGGGCCACGCCACACAGCAGGAGGTGAGCAGGAGCAAAGAGAGCACTACCATCTGAATTCTACCTCCTGTCAGATCAGCAGGGCATCAGCTTCTCATAGGAGTGCAAACCTTATTGTGAACTGCGCATGTTAAGAATCTAGGTTGCGTGTTTCTTGTGGGAATCTAATGACTCCAAAACCACCATCTCTATATCCAACCCCCAATCCATGGAAAAACTGTCTTCTACAGAAGTAGTTGGTCCCTGGTGCCAAAAAAGGCTGAAAACTGCTGCTCTGAAGTTCAAGTATTTATAGATAAAATAATCAATGTCTTGGGGCTAGCTTCAAAATAATTACATTGGGGGGATTACCAGATAAAACTAGATAGGCAATGAGACAGTAACTGTTAAAGCTGAGCAGGGGTACATAGGGACGTGTTTTATTGTTCCCTATTCTATCATGTTTTTAAATAAAAGTAAGTAACATGTAGTAGTGTTAACAATTATAAAACAACTTGTATTTTATTATAGAAGCCAAGCAGAACTAATTATCAAACATTTTCTTAACTGAAATTCATGACAAGATGAAAAATTTCAAAGCCTGTGTTTGTGTATGACTAAAAGAATAATTATATATCCAAAAATAAAAATGTATCTGCAAAATAGCCAATCAAATATCTTGTACTAAAATCCAAATCCCTTTTGAATTATCCAAAATAAAAGTTGCCAATATATACTTACTGGAATCAGGCATAATGCGAAGGTCGCCTTCTTTGTAATCATCTAAGAGCTGGTACATATACAAGACAGGGTCTTTCTCATAGGTAATGTAAAACCATGTGTTCATAACAGGTGCACGTGCTAAGACCATTCCCCTCCATTCGTCTTTAGAACCATCCTCTGTCTCAAACATATGTTCCACTGCTTTGCCAATCATTGTGTCTGCCAAGTGTGCATCGCTGATTCGAGATGTTGCTGGGGATTTAAAAAATAAAAGTTGACAAACTGATTACTGCCTATGAAGACTGAATTTACTAAAGAAGACTATCTGAAATTTTGTCCATGCAATGTATTAGCAAGCATCAGAAATCTGTGAAGGCTTTCAGAAGTACAAAAACCCAACACAAACTACTGGGCCCCAGCTCAGAGTTGAATTCAACAGGAATAGAAGTATTTTGTCACAAGTCAGTGAATTGAAAAAAATATGATTTAAAAAAAAAAATCTTCTGGACTCGTCTGCTCTTGGTTCTGTACCCACATCACAAGTGTTAATTGTTCATTCAAGGTATAAAATATATTTTTTTATTGTTTACTTAAATTTTGAGATAACTTCAGACTTAGAGAAGAATTACATAAATAGTAGAGTTCCTGTATATAGTTCACCTTGCTTTTCCTGTATTAGCATCTCACATGACCACAGAACATTTATTTAAAACTTAGAAATGAACCTAATCAAGGCACAAGTTTTTTTTTATTTTATTTTAAAGAAACTGGTGTTTGTTTTCCTTTAGTCTTGTTTCCATTTTTTATTAAGGCATAGGTTTTACTCTTGCTCCTACAATCTTATTCTCCACTGAAACCCAAGTAATCACTGTGTCACTGATACCAGATTGTGTGATTTACAATGTTCCCACACCTTATCTTTATAATTTGAAAAACAACCAAACTGCTCACTATGGCCCCCAAGCCCTAAGCCATCACGCCTCTGCCCTCAAGTTTTGCCATCTGCTTCCTCACTGCCCATACCTCCTCTACTCTGCTCTTCTCCCTCTCCCATTAGAACACACTCTCCTCTGCCTGTTAAAAAGCTCTTCCTCACACCTTCAGAAGGCCAGTTCCTCTTGGGGTTCTCCTGACCAACAAGGTGAAGGTAGCCCTACCAATCCGTCACATTACTACTCAGTTTTACTTTTAATAACATTCACCATGATCTAAAGTTATCCCACTTTATGTATCTGTGGTACTTGTATGTTGCTGGTATATCCCCATGAAAACTGAGACCTTCCCTTTCTTCTTTTATACCTAGATCACAGCAGGTCAATATTTGTTGTATGATTTAATCAGATGTCCGGTGTAACCAGGGCTCAGGTATCTGTAATAATAGATTAACAGTCCTTGCCCTTAATACTTTTCAAAAGTGGGTAAAAATTAACATCTTCGTCTTTTTAATACTAGAAAAATTATAAAGGATCCTACTGGTTTTAAGGTTTCTCCAGTCAACAATTTTAGATAATTGTCTTTACCTAAAATATACACAATTGTCTTAAAAAAAAAAAAAATTGAGACAGGCGCGGTGGCTCACACCTGTAATCCTAGCACTTTGGGAGGCCAAGGCGGGCGAATCACTTGAGCCCAAAAGTTTGAGACCAGCCTAGGCAACATGACAAAATCCCGTCTCTACTAAAAATACAAAAAATTAGCCAGGTGTGGCGGTGCAGGCCTGTAGTCCCAGCTACTCAGGAAGCCAAGGTCGTAAATCACCTAAACCCAGAAGCCGAGGCTGCAGCCAAGATGGCGGCACTGCACTCTAGCCTGGGCTACAGGAGTGAGACCCTGTGTTAACAACAAAAAACAATTAGCACTCCTATTTTCCTCATTCATCAGACTTCTATTTCTATTAAATCAAAAGAAACAAGTTAGATTTTCTTCACAAATGTATTGCTATTAATTTTATCAGCATACTCTAAACCTATATGGTTGGTTTTCTTTAAGTGTGCAGTAATAATAAAAAATTACAAATTCCCTCTGTGTGTGACACTAAAAAAGAACCCCCACTAGTTTCTTAAAGCTAGTAGCTCTCAGACTACTAGATCTCAGAACTGTATTTGCATTCTTAAAAACTACTGGCTGGGCACAGTGGCTCACACCTATAATCCTAGCACTTGGAGGCCCAGACAGGAGGATTGCTTGAGGCCAGGAGTTTGAGACCAGCCTGGGCAACATAATGAGATCTCATCTCTACAAAAATTAAATATTAGCAGGGTATCATGATGTGTGCCTGTAGCCTCAGCTACTCAATAGACTGAGGCAGGAGGATTACTTGAGCCCAAGGTGTTGAGACAGCAGTGAGCCATGATATTCCCGCCTGGGTGACAAAGCGAGACCCTGTCTCCAAAAACATAATTTAAAAGTAAATAGAAATTACTAAAGACCTAAAAAAGCCATTTGTTTACACAGACAATTCCTACCAATACTTACTATTTCAAAAAATAAAAAACAAATCCAGAAACGTTTATTTTAAAATATCTGTATAACAATGTAATTTAAATTAAAAGTAACTATTTCCTATCAAAATACGGTAAGAAGAGTGGCATAATTTTACATTTTTGCAAATCTCCTAATTGTCTAGGTTTCAAAAAGAACAACTAGATTCTCATATCTGTTTTAGTGCTCAATCTGTTATGATCTGTTCTTTTGATGTATAAAATCCAGTTTTACAAAGTTATGATGCTGAAAAAGGAGAGTATTCTGTCTTTCAGTAATTCTAGATAGTCTTATATGAAACTACAAAATTCAACAGCTAACTCTTTAAAAATTAGTTACAATGTAGAATCTGAAACCATTAATAAATTTGTCATACTCTTACATTGAAACTCATGCCTCCAGAACACATAAAGAACTCTCACAACTCAAAACCAAAAATCAAATAACCTGATTAAAAAATGGTCAAAGGACTTAAATAGATATTTCCCCAAAGATGATATACAAGTGGCCAACAAGCACATGAAAAGATGTTCAACATCACTAATCATCAGAGAAATGCAAATCAAAACCAAATGAGGTATCACCTCACACCCATGAGCATGACCACTATGACAACAACAGTAAATAACAACTGCTGACTAAGGGATGGCGAACGGGAACCCTCGTGTACTGCTGGCGGGACTGGAAAATGGTACAACTGCTGTGGAAAACGGTATGGTAGTTCTACCTAAGAAATTAGAATTATGATATTAAAAATAAAATTGTAATTACCATATGATCCAGCAATCCCATTCCTGTGCCTATAACCAAAACAATCGAAAGCAGGATCTCAAAGAAATATCTGCATACCCATGTCTACAGCAGCACTATTCACAATTTTATATTCTACCAAGAGGTAGAAGCAATCCAAATGTTCCTTAATGGGTAAACAGATAAACTGTGGTATACAGATACAATGGAATGTTCTCTTCAGCCTTAAAAGGGAAGGAAATCCTGTCACACATTGCAACTTGGATGAACTTTGAGGACATTATGCTAAGTAAGTTATTCACAAAACAAATATGTATGATTCCACTTCTATATCCAGAGTAGTCAAATTTATAGAGACAGAGTGTAGAACGGTGATTTCCAGGGGTTGGGAATGGGAAGAAAGGCACTCTGTTTTGTTTAATAGGTAGATTTTCAGATTTGCAAAATGAAAAAGTTCTGGAGATCTGTTTCAACAATGTGAATGTATTTAACACTACTGAACTGTACACTTAAAAATAGTTAGGACAGGGCCGGGCGCGGTGGCTCAAGCCTGTAATCCCAGCACTTTGGGAGGCCGAGGTGGGTGGATCACGAGGTCAAGAGATTGAGACCATCCTGGTCAACATGGTGAAACCCCGTCTCTACTAAAAATACAAAAAATTAGCTGGGCATGGTGGCACGTGCCTGTAATCCCAGCTACTCAGGAGGCTGAGGCAGGAGAACTGCCTGAACCCAGGAGGTGGAGGTTGCGGTGAGCCAAGATCACGCCACTGCACTCCAGCCTGGGTAATAAGAGTGAAACTCCGTCTCAAAAAAAAAAAAAAAAGGTTAGGACAGTAAATTTTATGATACACATTTTTTTTTACAATTGAAAAGTAGTTAGTCTTGCACTTTTTACAGCTCTACCACCAGTGCATGATCTGGTACTATGCATTGCTCATAAAGAAAATTTTGTGTTCACTAAGTTATGCAAATCTTCCAAATAGCTAGTGGGAAACTCCACTGTGTAACTGAGGAAAAAGAGAGAGTGAAAAGTGCAAATTACAACTTATCAATATGAAAATATCTCTGACCGTGCAAATCTCCTGAATGGGCTTCAGAGAACCCAAGGGTCCCCGGACTTTGCTTTGGGAACCACTGCTCTGTGACATCACATGCATTTTGGCTGACTGACATTTTTCTCCAACTTTAGCTTAAGAAAAACATAATTTTAATTATACTCTAATATACTGCCTGAAGCAAATTTCTTCCTATGTAAAGCATAGGTGAAAAGCAAGTAATTTTTTAGACTAAAGTAGGTTGATGCAAAAGTAACTACTGTTTTGGCCATGACTTTCAATGGCAAAAACTGCAATTACTTTTGCACCAACCATAATACAGTGAGTACTAAAATTAATAGCAACTATTAGCTGAATTAGGCATATATATTGCTGATTTACATAGAAGCTCTTGGATTTCTTTTTAAATTGCTTTATTGTTTACAAAATCAATATTGTTGGAAACAGATAATCCCAAACTACAAACAACATGGAACCCTTAATACCATCACCAGATACTTGCACAGTTTCTATCCTTCAATGACAAAAAGACTAACAGCCACAGGTCACGCAGCAATATGCAGGAACCTTCAAGTGAGCTATTTGTCTTGTCTCAGAAGGGGCAGAGGCTAAAATTCTGCTGTTAAAATTCTTAATGTGTTAAAGTTTCTTATGTGAGAAATGGATTAACGTTATGATCAAGAAGAAATGTAGATGTACATCAAGAGGAAGAGCAGGTACTCAGTCACACTTAAGAACAGATGAGAATGTTGAAAATAACAGATTTAATATCACCGTTAGGAGTAATAATATTTATATTTAAAGAAAGATTTCTTTGAAAACTGAACCATATTTATGCAGATGAACAAAGATTTCGGATTTGATATCTAAATAGAAGATTAACAAAATAACTTGCTACTATGGCAGAATTAACTTGCTAGGGAAACTGTTATATCCCAGGAATACAATGGCACAATCTGAAGAAAAACAAAGTGAGGAAACTCAATTAATTTCTTCCCGTGAAATCTGATCCCAAAATTCCTACCTCCAAAGTCTAGATCTGCTGAAGCTTTATTATTTAATGGTATAGACTATTAAAGACAATTCTCAAAGTACAAACCAGTATTTTAAACAAGAGCAGCATCACTGTAATAAGAAAATATTTCAAAATAAATACTGCAAAAAAGTAATAATTTGGGTGTATCCCACCCTACTAAAAAATAAAGTCAGTAATTATCATTTACCTTAGACCTTACGTCTTAAGGAATATTTGTAAGGCAAAACTGGCACTACATGACATTTTAAAAGAGCCATTCATCCCCACAAATACTGTTCAAATAAGCTCTGTGTACAATAAAGATCACGTTTTGGTTGCTTATATTTTGGCTCCAAGTACAATTCTCATTTACATTGTATACAATCAAAGATACACTTTCACATAAAGATTGTAAAGTAAATGCACATTCTCTTACCTTTTGTATCTGATGAGATCAACACACAGGAGATCTGAGCTACTGATAACCTTACCCACCAGAGTCCAGAGAACAGTGAGCAAAAACGTTAGAATAACTGTATTATAAATTATTAAGTTGCAAACTTCTTGGGGGAGGGGGAATACACATCTCTATATCCCCTACACAGTTCCTTGAATTGCTTTGGATCCATTTTTTGTGGTTGTCAGTGATTTAATATAATGTTTATTAGGAGGGGTGCTTGTGTTTCAATAAAAGTGAAAGTATTAATAATATAAAATGATACAAAAGCATCCATTTTCAATATCATTTTTAAAGCATATAATGCACAAATAGTAAAAAGAACTTACCAACTCTATCAGGGAGGACTTCAAGCGCAGAAACTCTTTCATCTTTATTAAGTTCTAGTCCATAAACACAGTCAAATCCATCGTATTTTATAAGATACAAAGAAGGATTTACAGGCACCTGGTCCAGAACGGTTCCTTTCCACTGGGTAACAGGGCCATTCCCCTCTTTCCACCCGTGCTGAATCCTGCAGCCTACGATGTTCCGCCGGGGCTGGGAAACAGGTTTGCTCGGCCCCACACTGCTCCGATGTTTTCTGCATTCACACATATACAGACATAAGGTATTATCTCAAAAGTATGCAGGTCTAGATCTAACATAACGGGCTAATACGCTCTCATTACAGATGGTCCCAAAATCTGTACAAACTCGTTTGCCACATTCCTGCTTCAGATGACTCAAGGTGGTTATCTTCTACCCATGTACCAGTGGTGGTGAGTGTGTAACATGGTATGTTAGTAATAGGAACTTGTTGTGTACCTCAACTGTATACAGACAGGGGCAAAAAAAAACTACTAGTCAATAGCAACTTAAGCCCTACCATTAATCATCAGGTCCTCAGCTTTCTGAGTTTAATTCAATCAACTCAAAATTATCTAAGTTGATTAAAGAAGCAGAAGGGCTGACCCATGAAATACATTTTACCAATAATCACACAGGTATATAGCTTTACATAATATGAATCCATTTCAAGTTAAAAAGAAATGTATGGTTATTCAATTTAACCCACTCTAGTGCCCACCTTATTCTGCCTGTACCGGCTTAAACAAAAATAAACTAGACAATTTTCTCTTAAACTGAAGTCCACACTAGCTTATATCAATGCACTACAGAAATATTACTTGTCTAGGAAACATATAATCTTAAAACTGAAGTTTATAAAACACAATGTAATATTATAAATTATTAAAACATCACACTATTTTTTTCTGATTATTAGCAACTGAAAAATCTATATAGGATGTTTATAAATAATACACCTGGCTCTTGATATCAGGAAAAAAATCTTCATTTCACCTTGAAACCTTGGCTTCTTGGAGGCAAGCTGAAGGCCAAAACCAACACAATGGATGCTGATATATGCCAAGAATGAAAACAGCTGAAAGAAATTCCCTTCCCACAGTTCCATGGATATAAAGCTCCCATTTCATAAACCATGAAAAAAAGTGATTAATGTCTGACATATAACATAAACAAGTTTTTTAAAGAAACAATTTATTGTAGGTTGTAATGTTTAAAACTAAAATTATCTATTTTCTAAATAGAAAGAATTTCCTCTAGACTGGTAACATAAATGCAGCTAAGTCAGAGGGGAATGGGCCATGAGAGACGATAAGGAGTATTCACCACAGAACGGAAGCTTCTCCTTGGTGTGAAAAACTAAGCAAGAGGATCGGAGCCTAACCAGGGAGACTGGGAAGGAGATTCACAAGGTTAAGTGCGAGACTGTGAGGCCAGAAAACCCAGGTCTGCATAAGCCCCTGGGGACTGTACAAACATCCAGGAAACCTGCCTTCCTGAAAGACAAAGCCCTTCTGATTACACAATTCTCACTGAGCAGGACAGGACCACAGGGGGAGGAAAGCAGGATTCAGGCACAAATGAGGGTGGCAGGTCTCACAAAGTATGACAGAAGTGGCTACACAAGAGAGAGGTCTTAAGCTACGAAAGCCTTCCTGGAATCCTCTTATTCACATGAGTCTGGAAGCATCATGGTTTGACAAGACACAAAGTTATTCTGAGGAGAAAAGAGACTAACAATGCAAAGGATGTTCTGACAGGCAGAAGCAGGCCTCAAAAAACAGGCCCATGAAGTAGATGAAAACTACTAACACAGAGCAAATGGCAGAAGCCATGAAAGAGGAACTGCGATGATTAATTTTGTGTGTCAACTTAACTGTGCCACAGAGTGCCCAGATTAAACACTATTCGTGGGTGTGTCTGTGCATCTCAGTCAGCAGAATGAACAAAGAATATGCCCTCATCAACGTGGGTGGCCATCATCCATTCTGTGGGCTTTAACAGAACAAAAAATGGAGGAGGGAGGAATTTGCCTCTTTCTTCCTCCTGGTCTGCCTGAACTGGGACTTGGTGGGGTTGCCCCATGTTGGCCACCTCTGTCAGGGTCATCACCTGGGGGAGGGAGGGGGGTGTGCAGGGGTCTGTCCTGCACACCCTGACTCAGTGACAGATGAATAAAGTACACTGACATATAGATATTATGCTTTGCCAGTTTGGCTTGAGTGTCCATGGCTGCTTACAGACTCCCTGGAGAGGGCTGTAAAAAGATAGAGCGACCGGCCCCCACCACTCAGTGAGACTCACATTTATTTAGTAAAGTTTAACTGACAAAGGCTTGAGTCAACACCACTAGACTTAAAGATTAAAAGACGCGTTCCAATGCCCAAAGCAAACACAATCAGTGGGTAATAACCCTGGTCAACTTCCCCCAAGACAGCCATCCAGCTCAGAGGTTAGTTTTAAGACCACATTAGTAACCAAGCTAGTTAGGTAAACTACTAACATTCCTTTGTCTTTGTTCCCTAATCTCTTTGGCTCCTGCAAAGAGACTCTGGCTGTCTTCAGCCAAGAACTATAGAAAAAGCCCTTAGGCCTTCCAAAAGGGTTTGAGACTATATGCTACAACTTTCTCTAATATTTTCCCCTTAATATTTTTGCCATCATCCTGAGTAAATTCCCACAGGACATCCGTATTCTTGTGCCCTGTGACTGAAACTGACACCACTGGCTCCCCTAGTTCTAGGCCTGCAGACTGATTTCCACATCCAGCTTTCCTGGGGCTTGGCTTACAGATAGCACTCAATGGGACTTTTCAGCCTCCAAAACAGCAATGAGCCAATTCCTCATAATAAATCTCCTTCATGTTTTATCTAACTCCCAACGATTCTATTTCCCTGGAGAACCCTAACTAATCTAAGAACATATATCACAAATAGAAAAGATGAAAAATGAGATAGCCAGACAAGAAAACATGTAAGAACTACCACAGAAAATAAAGAACCAATAGTAATTTGATTTTTTTTTTTTTTTTTTAGAAACAAAGACTAAACTAGAACATGAGAAGAAATAGACACCATGAGAGCATGTAAGGGAAGTGGACAATGAAAAGGGGACAGATGGGGACAAAAGCAAAAAGAATTAAGAGATGGTAACAAATATTCCAACTTCTGTATAACAGAAGAACTAAAAACTAAAATCAAAGTTCACAGATGAGAGTACGAAAAACCGCAATTCAAGAAAACCTTCCTGAAACAAAACAACTGAATATACAAAGGCACCTCCTGGGAAAACAGAATGACTGGAGCTAAGGCATCTCCAAGTCAAATAAATGAATTTTTAAGAAAATAACACCCTTTGGGCATTTAGACAAAAGAACCAAATCATGTGTAAGGGAAGGACTCAGAATTTGAGAGCAACACTCTATGCCAGAAGGCAACAGAGTAATAAACTTAAGGTTCTCAGGGAAAAGAACATGTGAGCCAAAGATTTGTTCATCAGCCAAGAATGTACACTACCTTCAAGTATAAAGGCCACAGACAAAAACTGTAATGAGTATGTCAGAAGGCAGGGGATACTGTTCTTACAAAATTACATGACGATGAGCTTCAGATAATCAAGGAACTCACAGAGAAGGTTCAGCACAGCACTGGGAGAACGCAATGAATTAATTTAACTGAATGGTGGCAAGGAGAGACAATAGTGTGTAACCATTATCTGTTCTGATATTACAAATTTAACACAACTCTCAAAACAGGAGGAAAGCATATGTTAAGTAGAGTAAGTATACTGACTGTCTTACAACACTTGCATAAAAAAAGGATTAAAATTAGGATTGTAGAGAGAAAGGAGATGACAAAGCTAAATTCAAAACTGTTCACCGTAAGAAACCAATATATATCACCTAAAAATAAACAAAAAGTCTGTAACTTTACTACACAGAGGTAGAAGAAAAAGGGGATTTTTTAGACATTTGCATAATCTCTTGGAATATAAAATAATATCCAATTGGCTTCTTCAGGAAAACAGCTGATGAAGGAGATAACATTTCCACTTTAGAACACAAGAATCCTTTTTAGCAATACTTTTTTCCTTAAACTGACAACCAGTTACATATCTTCTTTTGGTTTCTAAGCAAAAGACCCAGTGAGTTACTCCCTGTACAGGATCAGGCTTTCTTCACATTTAGCGCAAAGGCTAAGGTTAGTTCCTAAGCCTCACTAAGGACAGAATTCAGTCATGTGTCCCATTTTGTAATTTACACAGACATTCCATGATTACTACTAAAATTATAAGCAAATACATCATCTTCACCAGTATGGTGGTTAACTTTGTGTGTCAATTTGGTTATACCACAGCACTCAAATACGTGGTCAAACGCTAACTAGTCTAGATGTTTCTCTGAAAGCATTTCTTAGCGGGAATGAAACTTTGGATCGCAGACTATGAACCCAGCAGGCTGCCCTCATAACATAGGTGCATCTCATCCAAGAAAAACAATGGCCTCCACGGAGAAGGAAGGGATTCTGCCTCCAGACTGCCTGTTCGTGCTGCAGCTTCAACTCTTCCCTGGGTCTCTAGATGGCTGGCCTCCCCTGCAGATTTTAAACTTGTCAGTCCCCATAATTGCATTAGCCAATTCTTTAATATAAATCTTCCCCCTTCCCTCTCCATGTGTTCCCCTCTCTCTAACAGCATGAAATTTTCTACCTTTGATTTTATTTATTTATTTATTGAGGTGGAGTCTTGCTCTGTCGCCAGGCTGGAGTACAGTGGCATGAAATCAGCTCACTGCAACCTCTACCTCCTGGGTTCAAGTGATTCTCCTGGCTCAGCCTCCCTAGTAGCAGGGACTATAGGCACGTGCCACCACGCCTGTCTAATTTTTGTATATTTAGTAGAGATGGCGTTTCACCATGTTGGCCAGGATGGTCTTGATCTCTTGACCTTGTGATCCTCCAGCTTCGGCCTCCCAAAGTGCTGGGATTACAGGCGTGAGCCACCATGCCCAGCCTCTACCCTTGATTTTAACAAAACCAACATAAACCTGACCTATATGACAGCAGAATTTTTACTTGTCGCTGCTCCCTCCTACACTTGTTAGCAGCATTCCTCTGTAAACGGAAATTATCTGCAGTTGCTCCTGATAATGTCTAGAACCATATTGCGGAATAAACAGTTTTAATACTGGACACCTCCAAGGAACAAAGAAGGTCTCCTCCCTTTGGCCATTACACA